CACTACAGAACCTGTTTGATACTGTCCTTTGGATGATTCCTCCTAAAATTTTTAGTTTCTATACGTGCGTGCGCAGGTGATGAAAAATGTCCTGTATGTGCATGGACAGATGTTTAAATTCAAAGGGGCACACGCGCCGGCAGTTTGCATGTCTTCTTGCCCCCATTTAATAAAACTCAGAGTTTTCCCCTCCCTGTCAGGTGAAACTTGGTTTAAAAAAAAAAAAAGCTTTTTCTACTTAACGCCCTAGGCTTGTGTTTGTTACCAACTTATGGTGGCGGTGAGGTTGAACGGCCCCATCCCCAGTGAAAATCCAGGTTAGTTTTGTGTGGTCAAGTCCCTTCCCCCAACTAGGCCTGCACAATGTGATAAAAAAAGGCCACAACCGACAGATATTGCCGCACACACGTCACGTGATTGTACAAACGCTCAGCTTATCCTTTTTTTTGGGCTCTTTCCTCTTACCATCAGCGAGAACAAGAGGGTTTTCCACGGTCACCAGTCATCTGGCCAGAGCCTACAGCTATCGCTATACATGCTGTTTGTCCCCACCGGCAGTTGACCCCTTTATCAACAACCATTAGCACCCGCTTCTGTAATTTGGATATGCCTTTAGGGGCCCAAAGGTAAGTTTTTCCATTGTACGCTAAGACCCCTGTGTTGGACATATGACAATAAACCCTCTGAATCTTGAATATTTTGAGTCAACCCAATATCAATAACGTATAATCCATATGAGAAGATTTTCACTGAACGGTTAGAAGCAACTTTGTAGATTCCGTGTACATTAATTGAAACGACGCAGGAGGGAAAAGAATGGAAGAAAACACAACAGCCTCCTTTTACCAATGGTCAGATAGAATTTGATTTGTAATGGGGTGATATATATATTTTAAAATGTGTGTTTTCCAGACTGAGAACTACCTGTAAAGTATTTAGCCGGGTTTCAATTGAAATTGTAAAAGAAAGTTTCAGTATCTCAAAAAGCTGAAAGTGTACCTTAAGAAATATTGTGTGTGTGTGTGTGTGTGTTGTGTGTGTTTGGTGAATGGGGGACAAAAGGGAGTGGGGTGTGCTTCCTCAGGGAATGGAAGGAGAATACTAATTCTAGCCTGGTGCTATAGCCACATTGCCCCCAACCCTCCTCTCTCCTCCTCTCCCCAGTGGGCAACAAAGGCTCTCCACAGTCAGCTCAGGCCAAACAATACCACCGCTGCAAAGTCCTAGTCTGTAGCCACGCCCCTTCAAACACAGAGGAGGTCAACATGGAGGGAAAAAAGTGTCCAGGAAGAAATGTGAAACTGTGGCTTGTGTCTGTGTGGCTGCTGTTGGTCTCGCAACATTTTTGTTACTGCTGGTTCGTAGAGATCTTACTGCAGAGCCCAGTCTGCTGACCACTGACCAGCCCGCATTAACGTCTTCTTTGTCACAGTCAGTCCTTGGCTGTTCTACGGGGACTATAGTAACATCCATTACTCACAGCCTTAAAATCAGATTTTTAAAAGTACCCCTAGGCATAAATGAAGACATATAAACAAACAGTCTGCTTGGAACAATAATGTTGTGTTGATGGTTGTTCTGCAAAACAAAGTATATTTCCACATCAAAATCCTTAAAAAAAAACTCCTTCTGTTTCATAAAAAATTCCAGAATCTATGAATATGCAAATATTGTTCATTTCTAAAGCTTTCCTGCTGGACACAAGGTGTCCTACTTCACTGTAAAGTCCATTCTCAGTGTAAGTGCACTGGTGTATCACACTTTTAGTTGCATTAGTGAAGTTGCATACTGGACCAGGATTTGACTTCTAAAAATTTGTGATCATGCTGGTCACAAATCATGCTGGTAGGCCCGCCCCTTAAAATCAGTTTTTCAATGAGCACAGAGAAACTTTCCACTTTCAGCAGATGAATGTGAAAACATCCTTCTACAGTCAAACTCTGCACAGACATCATTCAAACATCACACTGTAGGAACAAGAAGAAACACTGATTTTTTACTGGAGGGGGACTTTAAATTATTACTTTTACATTATTAGTTATCCCCCCCATAAAAATACTACTGTATGAGTCTTGAGAAAAGTAGCAATTAAATTACCCCCATGCCTGTTTTTTAAGCTTTAGATAAACTATGACTAAAATACGATAACACATTTTTAGTTAAGGTGAGATCAACGCGGGGGATCTTCTCACACTATTTTCAATTCAAAGTGCAGTGCAATCTGTTTGCTCACAGACCAAGCACTGCCTCCTCCCTTCTGAGTAATGTAATGAAATCACCTGTTTCATTCTTTTCACATAGAAAAAGATAACTAATTTAATTCAATAACATTGAAAATAAAATAATACATTATTCTTTAGATATAACACAGGCCTGACCTGTTCTATATACACACTAACTAATTACATTTCCTTTGTGCATTGCATTATGGGACAATACTTTGCTTCAACTCAAAAATCAAGTGATTCCTAGTATGCAGACTGACCGTTTTTTATTTATTTTAATGTACTAAAAACAAGTGTATACTTAATTTTATACTGGAAGTGTACACTTAATTTAATGTGAACACACTACACTCAATGTCAAAACCTGTTCAGAATTAGCGTGTAGCCTAGTTTCACAGTCACACAGTGATGTGACTCAAAACGCCACTGCAAAATGTATTATTTTTGTTTGTTTTCTACGATCTTCTTGTAGCTCTCTCATACTCTCTCATATATTTTTTGCAGCTCTTTGTACATGTGTAAATGTGCATACTGACTTTATGAGTATTCTCTTTTGTAGCATGAACATACTACATACTCAGAACCTTTTTCAGAATTGTTCCAGTTGCAATTGCCCATGACCTTTTACATAACATGGTTTCAGACCCACAGTTTAATATTCCAATATGTGTTTTTGTGAGTGACAAAAAGATTTATTTTCACTCTTAACATGTTGAAAATGTCAGTTGCCTACATACAGTATATGATACCTAATTTGCTGTTTAGCAGTGCAGGTTAAAATCTTTTTTGATCATTTAGAAATATAGTAGTATATACAGTATAGACTGTTGAATGTTTATTCTCACTTTTGTCTAACTTAATTTTAGTGTCATTTTAATTGTTTGTTTTATTAACCTTATACCACCACTCTTGCTTAAGGATGGAGGAGCACAATCGAAACCAGTGATATACTATTGTGATATCTTCGACAGTTCAGCCGAGGTGCTTTATTATTTTTCCAAAACTGTAAAAAAAAAAAAAAGCCATACATGTTAAACAGTGCTTTTACTGCATCACATAGTTGCTTTAGCTTCATCTTAGAATTTTCTGTCTTACCATGAGGACATAGCCTCATAAATGTGCCACTGTTTGATGAGTGTTTAAAGCCTCTCTCTGTGCTTCTCCCAGGTATACAAATGCTCTCCGTCCAGCCGGACTCCAAGCCAAAAGGCTGTGCCGGCTGCAACCGGAAGATCAAGGACCGCTACCTGCTGAAGGCCCTCGATAAGTACTGGCACGAGGACTGCCTCAAGTGCGCCTGCTGCGACTGCAGGTTGGGCGAGGTGGGCTCCACGCTCTACACCAAAGCCAACCTCATCCTATGCCGGAGAGACTACCTACGGTAAGAGAGACGCCATCTGTGTGACGTTCAGCAAACACTGCACACCATCCAGATAAAACAATGTCTGGGTGTTTGAGAGTACCCACATTTAGTTCAGGTCTTAATTTACAAGAAAGTTTTTTCTTGGTTTGGACCTTTGACCTTTTTTTAAAGCCTCAAAATTTGCCACAACCCCGCAATTAGATAGTGACAAATTTGCACATAAATTATGGTCAGACATACAATTTCAAATTTTTTAATTAGTTAAATTTGTGGTGTTTTCTTGCTATTTATTGTATGTGTTTTAATTGATTTTGTTTATTTAAAAAACGTCAATATAACTGCCATAAATTTTGTACTGTTTTTAAAAGACATAGCTGTTGTCGCACGTTTATGTCAGGGCTGTTTAAAAATGGCAAAAACATTGTGTAGGAATTGTTGAAATCAAGATTTTAATGGATTACACACGTGGAATTTAGATTTTATCTTGAAACTTTAAAATATGACAGCTCATTACAGAACAGTAATCCAGCTAATCTGTGAGGTTTTTAGTGAAACTGACAGAAACTATGAGCTCAAAACAGCATCTTGAGTAATAAATAACTGAAGTACAACAACAAACATTTTACTCAGCTTTCACTCTATTCAAGCCATGTCACCCGTAATGTGAATTATTCTCAAAAGAATCGCAACCAATAAATAACAAATATCTCAATTTACAAGTTATTTCAGGAGAGTGGATAAGAGTAGAAGTAGATATGTGCTGATTGACAGAAATTTGTCTATGAGCCTAATTTACAGTGAGTGGACCAACATCATTTTATTATGACCTGATTAATTCAGATTATTTTGTGATCTTTTTAATTATTTGATTAAATAAATGATTATGATTTTTTTTAAGTAAACATACATACATCAGTCTTAGAAGTCTTTTGTTGACATGAATTTGTACTCTGACCTCAACATAAGAAACTCTGCTTTTCTCCTCCTTTCTCTCCTGTGTCTGGGAGTAAAGTTGGAGCTTTTATTTGCATTTCAGCTTTGTTTTACCTGCACTGGATTGAATTTATATGCTGTAACAGAGTTCACGCACCAGTTAGCAGATAAAGGTATTGTCAAGGTGTTAAAGGTCTGTGATCTAAATGTACAGCAAAGGTAGGCATTGCTGTTATATATAAAATTATTACATTGGAACTGATCACTCTAATTTGATTAACATAGTCTGCAATGTTCTCTAATGCTGCAAACAGTTTACTTAACATCAGCAACATCTCATTCCACATCATCTCATTCCACAACCCCAAATTGTATTTTTGCATTTATAAATCGCTCTAGTAATACTTGAGGGTACCATCCATATTCAGTTGTTTTACCACCCTGGATACTACCATATTTTTGTGCATTCATTATAATAATATATGAATAGGAGATGAGATTATTTCCAATATAAATCTTTTTCAAAGGAACCATCTCTCTTCATTGGCAGAAGATTATTTTAGAGCACAGCAAGTTTTTTTTTTTTTTATATGACTGGTAAAGATAGACATTTATTTCAGTGTTGTGGTGGTCGCACTGAGGCCTGCTAAGAGACAAACAGGCCTCAGCCAATGGTTTAAGAGGTGTTTACATAAGGAAAAAGTTTGTAGTTTATGGAGGCCTGGCATATGTAAAGCTTCCCACTGATTATAAGGTTATGTGTACCCCATAAGATAAAATTATTTCTGTTTTACCTTCATTCAGTTGGTGGAAGGTTTGAGACATGCAGACCTTGATTTCTGAGAGAAAAGATGTACTCCTTCACTGGCTGTTTTTTAATGAGACATTATGATTAAACTATAAAGTGTACTACCAGCTACTGCTGTTTTGACAGCACAAACACAAAGGGATGACAGGTACAAGGATCAATTAAGGTTTTAGGTTAGGTAATTTTTTTATCCTCGCTGACATTGTTTAGAGCCCCAATCAGTAATACCATTTAAAGATATAAATTACCAGACATTCTGTGGGAACAAAATCAGTATTTTGTGTGTTTCATAAAGGTCTCGTGTTTTACACTTTTCTGATGTTTTATTTGAGGTTTTGACATCCATAATAAGATATATTTGTGTTTTTAAGTACCAAAACAGTCCTCTGTACAGTTTTACATCTCCTCTGACAGGCTTCACACAGGAGCTCTAGCAAGAACAGGGTGTTTTGGGTAGTGTTTTGTCTCATTAATATCAAGCATTGCGGTGTCCTTTCGGAATGGGCCAATTGCTTGGCTCCTGGTATTGCTGCTAGCACTGGACTAACTCGGTCCTCAGAAATACACCTACCAAATGTTAAGTCGATTGGATGGAAGGTTGCCAAGAAAAGGACAGACGAACATACATACAGACAGACAGGTCGAGATTCCTTCCTTTCGGGCAGAGTCACATGCATCGTTTCTTTGTGTGGAGTTGAACTTTGGTGAACTTCGACCAACCGATAGCAAAGACGACGAAACAGGTTCCCTGCATTCATGTATGTGTGACCATAGCCTTATAGTTAGACAGTTAGACGCGCCTCTCTTCTGACTGGCTAACGGTTTTCTGTGTGACACACGGCCGAGCCAACCACAGGTAACAGACTGTAGCCCATCAGACGGTTGGTCGGGTAAGCCGTGCTGGGTAGAGATGTTCCGATACCATTTTTTCTTTTTGGATACTTGGATCGGCTGATACATACTACTGATCCGATACATGTGTGTTAAAAAATAGATATCCTGGCTCAGGTTAATGGCTTTGTCAGAGTCAGAGTAAGGCAGGTCATGACTTCCCTATCTTGGGGGAAAAATGGGACGCTTTGGGAAGTAGCAGGGTCTCACTTTGGGTCTAATAAATTAGAGGCTGAGGGCAATGACTGTATAGCTATGACATCATAACATTATAGAATTCCTGTTGGCTCTTTTTAAAGGCAGTTTCTGAATATGGGCTGTGTGCTTTTGTCCGTGTATTGGTTTGATACTTGAATATATTATAGTACCTGATCTATAGTAAAAAAAAACTTGGAAGTCTCACTGTCATAATATTTGGCCATTCAAATTTGGCCCCTCCTCCCTGGTTCAATGATACCAGAAGCGCAACCACTCTTCATCCGTCCTCACACCCTGTTTACTGTTATTGGCTGAGAGCTGCACACTGAAAAAAATTGAGTTGTGTTGTGTGTGTGTGTGGTAATCAAGGATGTGTCATCAACAGAGGATGTTGCACAATGTACAACAACCTGTAGAAAATGACACGCCCACTATAGTACCCAAGGAAAACCTGCTATTTTTTAGTTTGGGAACCAACTTTTCAGGTTCACCAGTTATTTTTGGCCGAAATGGTCTGAACTAGGTGCGCAAACCTGAATGGAGCCGGTTCCCTGTTGGTGGAAAAGGCCTATTTATGACTCATGGCTGGATTAATGAATAGACCTACAAGGCATCTGCCCTTGGGCCCAAGAGGTCAGCCTGACCGTCTTTTTGAAGTGACTTTTCTGACAAGATCTATGTTTCGAACAGTCAATGGGTTATTAAAAAGTAACTGACGTACGTTACTTCAAAGGAATTGTTTACTTTTGGTTTCACACCGGACACAAACAGTGGCCTCATGTGTTAAAGTCCTGTTTGTTTGAGCCATCCATCCATCCATCCATCCCCTTTTCCACTTCCTTACAGTGAGTGTGTCCAGAAATGATGCTAGAGGGACACCTACAGCATCATATGTTGAGAGTGAGACCGGGTTGAAATCCACACCTCAAGCCCCAAACGAGTCCCAGCCCCTGTGAAACGCGTTTGTCCATCTACCTCCCAGTGTCCACAGGTCTTTGTTGCTGATTGTGGAGCTTTAGAACAAAAACTGTAAATGTCCTCAGTTAATCAGCTGATGTGGACACTGCTTGCCTAACACCAAT